AATCCTTTATATGAAAGCTTTTTTCTGTCAAAGAGAGATTAGCAGGAATTCCATAGATTTTCAGGATTATTTTTGTGTATGTTCTTCCAGATTTCAGAAAATGTGCAGATGGTTGGTACATAGATAGATCAAAAGGTAGCTAGGAAGAAAGAAAGGAAGGAAAAGAGAAGGAAGAAAAGGAAGGAAGAAAGAAGGGAGGGAAGGAGGGAAGGAAGCAAGGAAGCAAGCAAGCAAGGAAGGAAGGAAGGAAGGAAGAGGGTCTTGATAAGTTGGCTAGCCTTGTATTTGCAGTTCGCCTGCCATAGCCTCTCAGGTAGCTAGGATTACAGGCATGTGCCACTGTACCTGGTTAATAACCTGGCACATTTCTATGTAGTAGGGAGGTAGCTCAGTGCAAAGGCTCTGTGTTCAATCTCCAATATATAAAAAAAAGCAAGCAAACAAGAAAAAAGAAATAATCCTTCTTTATAGGGAAGCTTTTTTTCCTGTCAAACAGATTAGCAGGAATTCCATAGATTTTCAGGATTATTTTTGTGTATATTCATGGTGTCAAATACACCATGCTATCAGCCTTTTAAAAATAGCATTTTATTCTTATTTCTTCCTTACTAGAAAATTTTACTAGAATTGAAAAAATAGTTCAACACATACCCATATGCTTTCCATTTAGGATCAGTACTTGTTGATGCTTTTGCTTTTCTGTGACAATACGGCTGTGCTTGGCTTTGCAGAGGGGGTTCAAACTGACGGTGTAAGAGCGCTGTGGCAGCCTGCCTACGTTCTGAAGCCAGGGCCACTGTTTTCTACTTGTGTGGCTTGATCCTTAATATATCTCTAAGCCTATTTCCTCAACTATAAAGGAGGGTGACACTTCAGGGATTTCAGAGCATTAAATTGGGTAATGTTTGTCACAGAATAAATGCTCAGTGAATATTGCTTGTGAATTGACTCACTTACCATGGAAGCTAAGAGCAATATCTTAACTGGTTGTCCTTTACTTCTTTTTGTGGAACTAGGGATTGAACTCAGGCCCTTGCACTTGCCAGGGAAGCGCTTATTCCACTGAACCATCTTCCCGGCCCCTGGTTGTCCTTTAAATCCACAGCCGTAAGGGCTGGTGAGATAGCTCAGTAGAATAAGCACTTGCTTGGCAAGTGCAGGGTGCTGAGTTCAATCCCCCGTACTGCAAAACATAAATAAATAAATAAATAAATAAATGTAAATCCATGGCCATTTACCCTAAGGGGTCCCTTTTTGTTGTCAGCTAATCCCACTCTTTCTCCAACATTCACACTTTGCCTTAGATGATTATTTCACTCAAAGTCCCCCCCCCCCAGTCCTTAACTCCTCTTGTCCCTTCTTCACTCTCAGTGGACAAGAGTCCATCCTTCCCTGAGAAAACATAATTAGAAGAGAACTTCTATGCATGCCCATAGAACCTGCCACTGTCTTCCATCCATTCTGTACTTTCATTCTTATACTGTAGACAATCCTTCTCCATGTCTGTCTAAGGCCAACCCCTCTGCTTATGCATGAGGCCCACTTCCTCTTGCTCAACCAAGACATTCCTTGGGGAATTATTCTCTCTCTGTTCCATGATCAATTTTTTCCTTCCCTACTAAATCATTTCCATCAGCATTCAAATATACCAAATCTTTTCTTTTTTAAAAATGTCTTTCATACAGGGTCTCACTACACAGCTCAACTCATAGTGATCCTCCTGTTTTCAGCCTCCCCAGTGCTGGGATTGCAGATGTGCATCACCACGCCCAGTCTCTGTCTTCTTTCTTAACAGACACCCCCCCATGCACCAGCATTCACTCCCAGCTTCTTTCTAGTTCTTCACTATCCTTTCCTATGGCTTTCTGAAGCAAAAAATGTGCCAGTAGATCCAGCTTATTTTACCATGAAACTTTTCTGAAGTCTGAGTACTTCAGATCCTAGCCATCCTAGTTGGTATCATGCAAGATACTCCTAATTGTTTCCCCTGGTTTCTTTCTTTCTTTCTTTGGCGGAAGCAGGAATTGAACTCAGGTCCTTGCGCTTGCCAGGAAAGCAGTTATTCTACTGAGCCATCTCCCCGGCCCCTCCCATGGTTTCTTTCTTGTCCCTGTATACTTTATTCTGCACTCATCAATCACAGAAATCCTTGAAAAACATGTCGGAGCCTGTCTTTGTCTGCAATCAAACTGCTAATGACTTTCTGTCAAGCTGACAAAAATGCACTCTTCACCCTAGATCAAGGATATATTCTGGCTACCTTCCCGATGTCATTGTTTATCTCTGTCTTGCTCAGTTCCAGCCATGATGGTTTCTTTTTTCTTTTCCTTTTTATTTTAGTGAAGCTAATTTTTTGGGGTTTTTTTTTTTGTTATTTTATTGAGAAACAAATATCAATGAGACAGTTTCAAAGCTGATTAATAGGACAGTTTCAATAATTAACACATTGTACATTGTTATCTTCTTAGTGGTTATCCATAGTGCAAGAAGCAGACAGGATATCCTGTCCAAACACTATTAGTACACATCTTTCTTCTCATTGAATTAAGCAAAAGTAGCTGTATATCTATCCTAACTATTCTGTATATACAAATACAAAATGGTCCTTCCTTTGTATCCCCTTTTTTTTGTTTAGTCCTGTCAGAGCTGGGTATTCCATTGGCATCTAAATACTATAGGTGCATGAATTCAGCAAAACAATCGAACACAGTCCAGCAGTCCACAATAGTAGTGGGTTATCTGCAGAAGTTGTTGACTTGAGCCTTTCATAGCTCAGCATATTAATATGGCTTTACTTTATATACCTCGTTTTTATACTTTTCTGCTGGATGGCTAAGACCAAGGCAAAACAAGATGTATATAACAAGAAATGTAACTTTTGTATCTGATAAGTCATTCATGTCTTCTCAGGATTTATCCTGTAACCCTGTACTGCACTTTGTAGATCCTTTGTCAGTGTCAGCCATGTGGATGAGTCATGGCCATTGCTTGACCAATTTGCTCTCTGTGAAAGCCTGAGAGAAAGTTTTCTCTCCATGTGACTCTCCCCAGGCACACTATACATCATCAATCACATTCCTCTGTGGCTCCATAATCTTCTTAATCAGAAAATTTGGGGCATAACTGAGTTACATGATGTTACAGTACATGTTCTCCTATGTCCTGAGTCTTCACTGACCTTGAAAGGCTCGGACCAAAATGTTGTCTGACCTTGCAGCCCTTTCTTTTCTCTAATTTTTGATCTGCAAACTTAGGTTGTTAACCCTCCAGAAGAGAAGCTTATTATTACCCTGCAACATATGCATTTCGGTTTACCCTAATTAACCATGATGGTTTCTTACTGTTCCATAAACATACTAGGCACATTCCTGCCTCGGGGACTTTCTCCTTCCTGCTGTCTTATCAGCCCATGAATTTCTTCACATAGATATTTACATGACTCACTCTTATAGGTGACTAAAGCCTCTACTCAAACATCTATCTTCAGAGACATGTTCCAAGACTACTTGGTTTTATTTTCTTTCATAACATGTCATTAATTTGCCTAATGAGTACAGGTATTTTTTTTTCTTCTGGTTGTATGCTTAGTGCTTAGAATGGAATATATTAGGCCCTGATATACTTGTTGAATGAACCTTTTGCTGCTTCTACACACCCTTGTAGTGTATAGCAAATCTGCCCTACCCCTCATTAGCTCTGATCTCCCTTGCATGCATCTTCCCCTCCCCTCCCTTCTTCTTCTTTCCTCTCCTCTCCTCCAGCTATTAATTGCATCATGTTCCTCAAACAAGCTAATCATGTATTCACCCATGGCCCTCGGAGGTGCTCGTCACAGTTTTACTTCTTCAACTCCTTCAGTTCTTTACTCAAACACCACCTTTCAGATAAGCTTTTCCTAAAACAAAACAAAACAAAACAATAATAATTTAAAAAAAAAAAAAACAGGCTTTTCCTGACAACTATGGAAAGCTCAATTCCTCTGTTTTCACTCCTACACTTACTGTCTCCCTTCTCTGCCTTGTCTCCATAGCAAGTATCAGTACCTAACATTAAAGTCATGTTATTTACTTGTTTGTCTGAGAATATACTAGAATAAGTTCCACAAAGACCAGATTTATTTGTTTTGTCTTTTCCGATTTCCCTTGCACCAGTATTTATTGAATAAGGGCCAGTGAGATAGCTCAGCAGACTAAGCACCTGTCTAGGCAAGCACAGGGACCGGGGTTCATCCCTTGTACCACACACCATGCCAGCCCCACCCCTGGGCATGCTGAGCCAGCGACCAAGTCCAAGTGTGGTGGCACATACCTGTAATCCCAGCACTATGGAGGCTGAAAACAGGAGGATCATTATGAGTCTAATCTGGGTATCAAGACCCTGTACCAAATACATTAAAAAAATTTAGTTGAGGGGGCTGGAGAGATGGCTCAGTGGTCTAAGGCACCTACTTAGAACAAGCTTGGCAAAGCATCAGGGACCGCGGTTCAATCCCCCAGCACCACAT